ATTCATTTATTAAAATTATGGAAGTAAAACTGAGTTCTGCTAAGGACTAGAGGGAAAATGTCTCATAATGAAAAATTTATGCTTTGCTAATAATGTAGAAGAACTTGTATTTATTCTTCTCTCTCTATTAATTAAATAGAAAACATACATGTTTTGAATGATATCTGTTAGCAGATATTACGTGACTTGAATTCTAAAGACCTGGAAGGTTAATCTTAAAACTTAAATGATGAGAGTGTTTTCATGATTTTTATTTCTAAAAAAAGAAAACTAAGCCTTGTAGAAAATTAAACAAAATATGCTGTGATAATAGAATTATACTTTTCTCTAAATATTATAGCATGCATTTTAATTACTTTAATTCTTTATCTGCCTCTAAAGTAAAAGGTCCTGTTTAGACAGCAAAAAATGTCTTCACTCAGTTTGAAGATAATGCTGTATTTACTGAGAATATTTTATAAAGATTTTGTGGAGTGAGGTCTGCCTCAGGCAGCCAGTTTGAGCTGGGGGACGTGCTGACTCCCAAGAGACTGAATGCGAGCGATGAACCATGTGAAGGACCTTATCACACAAGATGAACATATAATGACCATAGGTGCTTCTAAAACTTCTGAATTCAGGACTTGGAAAATAAGAAAGAAAATAACTGGTACCAAGTTGGTGGTGCAACAGGAGCAATGACACCTGTGACAACTCTCAGACAAGAACTTAAACCGTGACTCCAGGCCCCTTCATTTTATTAAAAATCCTGATGCTTCTATCTTCATCTCAAAATTCTGAACTCAGGACTTCCCAAGTAACAGGGAAATAATAGGAGAGCAAAGATGGAGGAGCTGAGCCAGCCTGACTGTGCACACACCCTGGTGGCAGCCATGATCAACCAACCATCATCATCACCCAGTGGATAACAAGACCTGGCTGTAGTCCTCAGCATTAGGGATCTGAGAAATATATAGGTTTCAAAAAATAACCCAAGAGTACACTGATGTAAAGCTGTCATGTGCAGCTGTGAACCTTCCCAATTGCCACTCAGAGAACTTTGGAATGGAGGCCTGCGAGCTAATTGCTGCCTGCTGGGAGGACCTAGCTTCTGCTTTCATCCACATTTCAACCCTGTGGAAAATCAACCTGTTGGAGAATGCCTTGGTCCGTAGTGGGGTCATTGTGACTAGTAAGGTCTGGAAACAGCCAAACTGTAACTCAAATGCAAGGACTGTAAACAGCTAGCTTCAATGAAGAAAACCAAACGTTTCTGACTACTAAGAAAAAGAGAAATTCCTACTTGACATTCGTAGGTAGCGTGTAAAAGAAGCAGAAATGAAGAAAAATACCATCCAAGAAACTTTGGTATATTCTGACCCAAAAACCATGTACAAAGGAAAGGGAATAGGCCCTTACTAGGCGCACCTCTATGTAAGAATTATAGATCACTGACACTCTAATGAGATATAATTTCATTGGCACCCAGGTCAGATGGATTACATAAGATGGTGGGACTTTTCATTTGCTAATAGAGGATGTAAAGTCAAGAGTGGGTGGTGTGGGGGTTCTTAGGGTGACTGTGGAGATGGGGGAGGAGGTCTGAATACAATAAAAATTCATTGTATGAAATTCTTGAATCACCAAAATTTTTCTTAAACGTAAAATAAATATTTAAGGGGCTGGAGAGATGGCTCAGTGATTAAGAGCACTGGCTCCTCTTGCAGAGGACCAAAGTTCAGTTTCCAGCACCAACATGGCAGTTATCCACCATCCATAATGCCAGTTCTAGGGTGTCTGATGTACTCTCTGGCTCTGCGGGCATTGCATGACATGGGTGCACTTACATGCAGACAAAACACTCATACGTGTAAAATAAAGATAAATAAATTTTTCAAAAATACTGATTTCTATAACTATATTAAATATAATTTCTAATATTTCTTTTTTTAATTAATGATTGTATTGGGCAGATAATCCCAAGTATTTTGTATGTTACTTTTGGAAGAAATGATAAAGTCTACTATCAATGCTACTCTTTAAGTGCAGTGGGTAGCCTGTTCTCTTTGTAGAATATAAACTTGTAATTTCTCATAATAATAAAATAACTGAAGCCTTTATAAATGAAATCTATATAACATTGTGCAATATATTATATTGTTTTGTAAATGCTCATTAATAAAACAGTAAATGGTAACATGATTTGAGTAGTATCTTAGTTAATGTTTTCTTCACTGGAAGAAAAGAGAGGTGACAGAGAGAGTCTTCAGGTAATTTCTATAAAAACAAATAACACCTAAAGTCAGGCACGATGCTGCACACCTTTAGTGCCAGTACTCGGGAGGCAGAGGCAGGCAGATTTCTGAGATCGAGGCAAACCTGATCTACACAGTGAGTGCTAACCCAGTCTCAAAAAGACCAAACATAAATAATAAATAAATAAATAAGTAATCATGACTTATCTCAATCTTTCATTAACTCTACAAATTCTTGCTTTAAACATTATAAATATTTTGCCACAAATTCCATGAAAAGAAATATCATTTATAGTGTTTTTAAATTTTGTTTTGTTTTATTTGTCTTTTTGACACAGGGTCTGCCTATAGCTACAGCAAGCCTAAAACTCACTATGTAGACCAGGGTGGCCCCCATCCCACAGAGATTCATCTGTGTCTGCCTCCTAAGTGCTGGGATTAAAGGCATGAGCCACCATCTGGCAATGTTTATTAGTTTTAACTAATGCATACAGATTGTAGTGTCCAAAACTTAAGGAAACTCATTAGGATTTTTCCAATTGTTTGCAACATACATCTCACTTTAGAAACCACAGATGTACTTGATTTGGGAGATAAGAAAAAGAACTCTCTCTATTCAAAGATGCTTGAGAACATAAAATGATACAGATTTGAAGTATGTATTTTAGTGTTAATTATATTTAGTAGTATAAAAAATAATTGAACCCACAAGTA